AAGGTCTTAGTATTATATAATTTATGGTCACAATTACGTACTAAGCATAATTATATACGTTACAGTCACAAACACAAATTTTATAAATCGTAACTTAATTTTCGATCAAATTATCAAATTAATTGATCACATATTATTTCTTGATTATTAATCAAAAATTTTATAGGTCACAATTTTTTTATCGATCACAAATTATCAAATTACACTACAACCAAAATAGTCTTTTATAATGTTCAAAAAACGTTGTTGAAGACCTTTTGCAACGTTCGGATGTATGTTACAAAGTTCGATGTTGCTGTAAAGTAGAAGGATACGACAATGTTTGCTAATAACCTTTTGCAGCGTTTTTTGAACGTTGCTAATAACTCTTTGTAGCGTTTTTGAACGTTGTCGTAGGTTTTTTTTAACAGAAATTTATGCAAATTGATCGGCAAAATTGAAAATGACTCCTTATGAACAAATTTTGGAATTGCATAAAAATTGATAATTTCATTACAATTTTTTAAATCCATACACTTGAATATTAGAATGTGATACAACACCACCTAAATAAAAAAGAGTTTCAAAATGAAATAAAATTGTAACTCTCCTAGAAGTGAAACATTGCAAGCTTGCCATAATTCAATTATCGATTACGTAGCCTCTTAAACTTCAAAAGCCAATTTGAAGGAGCTCTTGAAGAATCATACCTTGCATCCAACACTCTTTTGAGCTCTTAACCATCTCCCTGAGTCTTGCTACAAAGGAACCAAGGGTAGGAATATCATTATCTCCACGGAAGTTGTCCTCGGCTTTTACTTTATCGAGAAAACTGCTACCATGGGAAGACTGTGAATCATTTTTGGACAATCTCATACCATTATAGGATGCATATCCAAAAGAGAAAATGAGAAAACTCGGTTCTTTTCCAAATCTGGACAACCGTTGCTAGTCTTGGTGTCACGGACCGCAGCTTTACTTAAGTCCCGTGATCCTATTGCAGTAGCAGTTTGCCCAATTTCGGCCGCACATTATAAATATTTCATTTAATTGTAAAATAGTTGGAAATTAAAAAAGTGTAGTATGATTCCTCAACTTTAAACGTCTACTCTCGTCAGTTGGGTTTTTGTTGCTAAGTCTATTATAGGGGGTATTAGTCTTTCAAACATTTTTCAAACTTTCTAGTGTTCACCCCCTACACTAGCCATTGTAATTTCTACCTTTCAAGCAATCAACGATCAAGTTATGTTCAATGCATTTCAATTTTATGTTGCAAGCTTTCTTTAAATTGTGATCAAATTTCCTTCCGTCCCGAAACGACCGAGAGAAGGTGGAAGGTAGTCTAGCGGAGCAGACTACTGCCGTATGGTGTCCCTTTCTGTGCTAAGAAGAAAGGTAACCCCTGAAAGTTGGTATCAGAGCTGCGGCTCAAGACCCTCGATAAGAAAATTATGGATCCAATGGAATCGAACACCACGGAGGTGGTAGATCCTCAAAAGAGGAATACGAAACAGCGCGTGGATGCGCTTGAGATGACAACTGCTAGGTTGTGCTATGCCGCGGAGAGTATCGATGAAAGAGTCAAGGCGATGAGGCTAAGATTCGTAAATCAAACACCCAACTGGGTGAAAGCCGAATGGCTTACACAGCAATGACTAAAGTTGTTGCTATCATACCTGATCTACAAGATGAGATGTGGGCGTTGAGAGCACAGTTACTATGCTTCAATGCACGGTTGGAAATGGGTAAGCCACTGCACAAGAGTTTGTGCATAGGCTCAGAATTCCAGAACCATGTACCTACAGAGGGTCAGCGATGCTAAAGAAGTTAAGAACTTCTTGTTCGATATAGAACAATACTTTCTTGCGGCTTCGATTCAAGACGAAGCGAGAAAGGTTACGACAACTACCATGTATCTAGGTGCAGATGCAAAACTATGGTAGTGGACGAAGTATGCTAATATTCAGGCCAACAAGGTCTAAATAGATTATTGGGATCTTCTCAAGGAAGCAATCAGATCTCAATTTTTTCCAGAGAATATGGAATATGAGGCACGTCAGGCTTTACGAGAACTGAAAAACACAAGCTCTATCAGGGAGTATGTGAAAGCCTTTTCAGGACATATGCTGATTATTCGAGATATGTCGGAAAAGGATAAGTTGTTCACCTTCATGGAAGGGTTGAAACCGTGGACACGCACGAAACTTCATAGACAGAAGGTCACCGATTTAAGCGCAGCTATGGGAGCTTCCGAATGTTTGAGTGATTATCAACCGAAATCGAGAGAGGATTGACCTTCGGGAAATAGTCAGTTTATTAGAGGTGGAAATAGACCTCATAGACCCAGCCCGAACTCAAATGGGGGAGAACATTACTCTCATAATCGAGGAAGAGCCTATCAAGGCAACCGTCAAGGTAACAACTGGAACCAAGGAAAAGCAAATGAGGGCAGATCTGACGCCAGTCCTAAATTGAAGTGTTTTTTATGTGAAGGACCACATCGAGTGGCGGAGTGTCCTTAGAAATGGATGGTAAATGCATATTACCAAACTAGCAAGTGGCAAAACCAAATCAAAGCAAGGTACCCCACAAACTAACTGTCATGGCGAGACCGACTCTGACGAAGATGAGGATGTAGTTGGGGCATTCTCACATCGGTGCAATACACTATCACACAGAGTTACTAAAAAGGAAGATGGTTCCTCGAAAGAGTTGAAAGCTCACAATTGTAGGGTGAAAGGCCTAATGTACATTGATGTGAAGATCAATGGGAAGCCAATCAGGGCTATAATAGATATCGGTGCTACCCACAAGTACTTCGCAAGTCTCGAAGTAGAGCACCTTGGACTTGCTCTAGAGAAAGGTAAGGGAAAAGTTAAAGCAATCAACTCCGCTATTCAACCAATAGTAGGAGTAGCGAAATCTGTGTCGATCAAAGTAGGACCCTTCGAAGGAAGGACGAACTTGTCGACAGTTCATATGGATGATTTCAAGCTCATTCTGGGATTGGAATTTCTTCGAGATACAAGAACAACAGTGTTGCCGCATTCCGACTAGTTCATAATGATGGGTAGTAAACTATGCATTATCCCCACAAAAGTTTGGAAAACAGGCTAAAAGGGTATCTCGGCCATGCAATATAGTAAGGGTTTCAAGAGAAATGAACCCTCATTTTGTACACTCTTTGCTTAGAGGAGATCGAAGAAGCGACTGGTCTGATTCCAAAATCTGTCAAAAGGCTTGTTAAGGAATTTGAGGACATCAAGCCGAAAGAGTTACTAAAGAAATGGCCACCAATAAGGGCAATTGATCGTGAGATTGAACTTGTTCTAGGTGCCAAACATCCCACCAGGGCACCCTACCGTATGTCTCAGCTGAAACTTGAAGAGCCTCGAAAACAGTTGGGAAAAATGTTGGGAAGTGAGACTACTGTGGAGCGCACTTCCGCAGTACTACAACGTGCATACTACTGGCCTCAAAGGCGGGGCGACAATTCAAGTTATGTGAAAATTTATCTTGGTTGTCTGGAAAATATTATGATGGATCATCAGAAAAAGACAGGCTTACTAGAGCCACTTTCCGTCCTAAACAGACCATTTGAGAGTGTGTCGATGGACTACATTAGTGGATTGCCAAAAGTAGGAGACTTTGGCACTATTATTGCCGTGATAGACTGCCTATCTAAAGAGACAACTTTCACCACAGCGCCCAAGTATGTATCAGCTGAAGAGACAGCTCAACTTTCTTCAAACATATTGTTAATACTGGGGACTGCCTAAGAACATCGTTAATGATCGAGATTCTCGATTTACTAGCATACTTTGGACCAAGTTGTTCAAACTTCTTGGTTCAATTTTGAGCATGGGCTTGAGTTTTCATCCACAATCTAATGAACAAATAGAGCCTTTCAATGCTATGCTGGAAGACTATTTTCGGCACTTTATCTCTGTTTCGCAAAAAATTTGGGTAAAACTCCTGGATACGGCTCGGGTGTGTTTCAATGGTCAAAGAAGCTCTTCTCTTAATAAGAGTTATTTCGAGATTACTACTGGCCAGCAACCATTATTCCCTCATACTACAGAGATTTTTGGCCATCGAACTACTCAAACTTCTAGGAACTATTTTCAAGAGTACTTGGTCAAATGGAGCGAATGTAACAGCGAGGGGAATAACTGGGTAAATGGAAAAGACTTTGAAGCCTTCAAACTATTAAACATATCATTCATTAAGGGTTTCCGAGGACGTCACCAAAGCAAATGGGGGAGAATGTCACGGACCGCAGCTTTACTTAAGCCCCGTGACCCTATTGCAGTCGCAGTTTGCCCAACTTCGACCGCACATTGTAAATATTTCATTTAATTGTAAAATAGTTGGAAATTAGAAAAGTGTAGTATGATTCCTTAGTCGGGTTTTTGTTGCTAAGTCTATTATAGGGGGTATTAGTCTTTCAAACATTTTTCAAGTTTTTTAGTGTTCATCCCTTGCACTAGTCATTGTAATTTCCTACTTTCGTCTATTGTAATTTCTACCTTTCAAGCAATCAACGATCAAGTTATGTTCAATGCATTTCAATTTTATGTTGCAAGCTTTCTTTAAATTGTGATCAAATTTCATTTCGTCCCGAAACGATCGAGAAAAGGAGGAAGGTAGTCTAGTGGAGCAAACTACTGCCGCACGGTGTCCCTTTCTGTGCTAAGAAGAAAGGTAACCCGTGAAACTTGGACCAAAATATTCTCAACCAGCCATAAATAAATAAATCATTGCAACCTCAGAATACAAGAAAAAATAGACGCTTTCTGACGGAAGAATAAAATCTAAATTAATGAAATGTGTAGAATCAGCTTCCATGGGATAATAAGGCGGAACACTTACAGTACGTGGACCAGTTAGCTCCTAGATGTGGCCATCATCACTTTTGGTACATGGATGCTGAAGGGACCATGGAGAATTTATTAATTACCATTGTTTCTCCACAAACTCAACAAGAGATCTATATATTAGACATAAACAATAAATAAAAACTACAGCTTGATTGAAGAAGTCACAGAACCATACTTTTTCATAAGTTGTTGAACAGCATAAGCCCCAAGCATTTCATTATGTACTGCAACACGATGCCATTGAGCTGGTCTTGGCAAGTCTTTATCTCCCACGAGCCTCTGATCAAACATTCCATCAGTCCCAACTGTGAATATGGTTACAATTCGGCCATTTCTCAAGATCTTCTTGACAAGAGCTTGACCTACTTTTCCACATATAATAGCATGGCAAATAGTCAAAATCTTAAATGCATATCCACATTCAGAATGACAACAAACAATGAAGCCACTCATAAACAGAGGTTCACATCCTTGTCGCTGTCATTGTCAATCTCGGTTGGGAAAAACAACTTTGAGCTCACTTCCACACCCATCACTACAAAAAGAGTAAATCTTCAATAGTCATTCAAAATGCAGCCATCATGAAAACAAACAATATAGTCTAACACTAAATTCTCAAGAGGATAAACAAAAAGGGATGGAAAGCAAATTCCATTAGACAATTGTTTCATTAGGAGCAAATTGAATCTAATATTGCCCAGAAGAATGGACATTAACTCTTTCTCATTGTTATCAATGTCTGTATATAGAGCAGCAATGAAGCATCACAGTTTGGATCATCTCTGAAGAACGGCGAGCAAGGCACTCGTGGTTCTTGCATAGAACTCAACACATATAGTAAATGGCAAGAATACTTGATATTCAATAAAACAAAAAGAAGCACAAACAGAAACTGTTGAATTGGTAGCCTCCATTTATTACAGCACACACTAGCAATCAAGGAATCAAGCAATCACATATATCAAGCCAAATGTTATGTTTTCCATATTGAAAGGTAACCCGTGAAACTTGGACCAAAATATCCTCAATCAGCCAGAAATAAATCATTGCAACCTTATAATACAAGAAAAAATAGACACTTTCTGACGGAAGAATAAAATCTAAATTAATGAAATGTGTACAATCAGCTTCCATGGGATAATAAGGTGGAACACTTACAGTCCGAGGACCAGTTAGCTCCAAGATGTGGCCATCATCATTTTTGGTACATGGAAGCTGAAGGGACCATGAAGAATTTATTAATTACCATTGTTTCTCCACAAACTCAACAAGAGATCTATATATTAGACAGAAACAATAAATAAAAACTACAGCTTGATTGAAGAAGTTACAGAACCAGACTTTTTCATAAGTTGTTGAACAGCATAAGCCCCAAGCATTTCATTATGTACTGTAACACGATGCCATTGAGCTGGTCTTGGCAAGTCTTTATCTCCCACAAGCCTCTGATCAAACATTCCATCAGTTCCAACTGTGAATATGGTTACAATTCGGCCATTTCTCAAGATCTTCTTGACAGGAGCTTTACCTACTTTTCCACATATAATAGCATGGCAAATAGTCAAGATCTTAAATACATATCCACATTCAGAATGACAACAAACAATGAACCCACTCATAAACAGAGGTTCACATCCTTGTCGCTGTCATTGTCAATCTCGGTTGGGAAAAACGACTTTGAGCTCACTTCCACACCCATCACTACAAAAAGAATAAATCTTCAATAGTCATTCAAAATGCAGCCATCATGAAAACAAACAATATAGTCTAACACTAAATTCTCAAGAGGATAAACAAAAAGGGATGTAAAGCAAATTCCTAAAACAGTGATTAGACAGTGTGTTTCATTAGGAGCAAATTGAATCTAATATTGCCCAGAAGAAGGGACATTATTGCTGAAATAATAACTCTTTCTCATACTTATCAATGTCTGTATATAGAGCAGCAATGAAGCATCACAATTTGGATCATCTCTAAAGAGCGGCGAGCAGGGCACTCGTGGTTCCTACACAGAACTCAACACATACAGTAAGTGGCAAGAATACTTGATATTCAATAAAACAAAAAGAAGCACAAACAGAAACTGTTGAATTGGTAGCCTCCATTTATTACAGCACACACTAGCAATCAAAGAATCAAGCAATCACATATATCAAAGCCAAATGTTATGTTTTCCATATATAGACTATTTCCATTAACAGATTTCATTTTCCATGTATAACTTAGATTTATGCATATAAATGTATACACAATCATTGTAAAATGTGTGAGCAAAAATATAAAAGTTTTTCACCCTCTTCCTTCTACAACGATTCTGTGTGTTGAATTTATTATGGTATCAGAGCCCATTAAGCTCTAACGAGCAATTCGATCCGGTTAAGACTCCAAAAGTAAGCACACGAATTTCAAGATTAGTCTGCTCAAACGAGCCACCATCTTCCAGGGGCATGTTAAGGGATAGAATCCCACATCGAATAAAAATGTAAACATAAACCAACTTATAAAAGATTGGGTTACTTCTCTTAATAAGGTTGACATTTTAAAATAGAACCTCAATTCTTAATATGGTATCAGAGCACCTCTTTCACTGTGACCTGTTCTAACTACTGCAAACATTGAAACAACATCCATCATGTCTGACTCCACATCCTCTACTCCTTCCCAATTGATCAATGATCTCACATCCCCATTTTTCTTAACTCCCGCTGATAATCCTGGTGCCATATTAGTGCTTGACCTCCTTACTGGAGAAAATTACTCTACCTGGAAACGCTCCATGCGAATGGCTCTCAATACTAAAAACAAACTTGTTTTTGTCGATGGTACTCTAAAGAAACCATCAGGCACACAAATTGCCAACCTTTAGAATTGTTGCAGCGATATGGTTTTCTCTTAGATGTTAAACTTGATTGATAAACCTCTTACGTAAAGTTTGATTTATTGCACAAAACCTTTTGAGATTTGGGCAGATTTGGACAACCGTTTCTCTCAAAGCAATCATCATGGCCTCTACCGTCTCCAACGTGATCTGGTTAACCTCAAGAAGAACACCATGTCTGTCACCACTTACTACAACACAATCAAAAGGTTATGGGATAAACTCACTGGACTAACTGAGACCAACCTTTGTAATTGCGATGCTCATAAAAGGTTGGAAGAATCTGTCAACATCGAGCAACTATTCCAATTTCTCATGGGACTCAATGACTCCTCCAACATTCGAAGTCAAATTCTAGCTATGGATCTCCTTCCTACAATTGATAGGGCATATGCCACCATACACCAAGAGAAAACCCAACGACCGAAACCACCGCCATGGCTATCCCACGAACCAACTCTCAAGGCAATCGAGGATTTCACTTTCGCAATGGTAAGAAGTGCACCAAATGTGGGAGGGATGGCCATCAAGAATCCTCTTGCTTCGAGATCATTGGATACCCCCCTCATTGGACCACCAATAAAATAAAATACCACCCATATCGACCTGGTCATACTTCAGCCAGCAATCGCCTACGTGGTTCAACCAATAATCAGCTACCCACAGCAAACATGGTGTCTGCATCTTCAATTTCTTCCACCTCGAGTGTAATTCTTGGTCTCTCTAATGAGCATTACCATCAATGGATGAAACTACTGCAGCCAACACCACTTCTCTTTCGGCTCTCTCTGGTAGCTCTCTTTCACTCACCCAAATACCATGGATAATAGATAGTGGGGCTTCTGTCCATATATCCTGTATTCAAATCTGTCCAAAGCCAAACATGTTAGGGCTCATTCCCAATCAATTACATTGCCCACTGGATCTAAGGCCCAAGTCACACATATGGGCTACATACACATCAACCCACCCCCTACCCCACCCCCATTTATGTCTCCAAAACGTTCTTTTTGTTCCCATTTTTAATTATAACTTAATTCCAGTTAGTCAACTTACTAAATCATCCAATTGTATTGTCGTTTTTTCTCCCTCTATTTGCTTCTTTCAGGACCAACACACGAGGAAGCTAATTGGAATGGGTGAAGAACGTGGTGGCCTCTACCATTTCAAGCATTTCGCTCCAGCTGCTTTTCAAATTACGACCAACCTTACAATTATGCCGGATTTATGGCATCTTCGTTTAGGTCATCCCTCAAATTCTTGCAGACCAAAATCTTTTGGGGTGTTTGTTTGGGATTTTTGGGGGAAGAATTGATTTTTGAATAGTGATATGATGGGAAATGTGTGGTTGAAAAAGAAGAAAAAATATTGATGTGACGGAAAATATTATTTTATTAAAAAATGTTTGAAAATGAGAATTGATTTACTGTAAAATTTGAGAATCGCAAACATACAAGCTCTTTATGTAGTTCAAATAAAATTACAAATTTGAAAATGAGAATTGATTTACTGTAGAATTCGAGAATCACAAACAAACAAGCTCTTAATGTAGCTCAAATAAAATTACAAATTATGACAGTTGTATTCGAGGCAAATAAACGCACCTCCCCTTCAAACTGGTCGAAAATAAAAGTACTTTTCTTTTTAATCGAATTTTTTGTGATATTTGGGGTAACTATTCGATACATTTCACAACTGGTGCGCACTATTTTCTTACAATTGTTGACAATTTTTCACGTGTTACTTGGGTATACCTAATGCGTTTCAAATCCGATACATTTACTTGTTTGACCTCATTTATTAAAATGATCAACACACAATTTAATTGTGCCATCAAACATATTCAATCTGATAATGGTCAAGAATTTATCTCTTATCGTATGCAATATTTTTTTCTTGACCATGACATCATTCATGAACGTACTTGTGTTGTAGGGATGGCAACGGGACAGGTATGGGACGGGTCGGCCGCTCCCGCCCCCGTCCGGTCGGGTATTTTTGTTATCTTGCCCCATCCCCATACCGGGTTAAAGCGGGACGGGGCGAGATCGGGGCAGGGCGGGGCAAGTCCATTGCCCTATTTATCGCCCCATTTATTTTTTCTTCTTATTTATTATTTATTTTTTTCTGTCTTTAGTTAGTAAATATTATTACTTTTTTACTAATTTGTTAAAAGCAACTTATGTTCTCTTTAAAAATGATGATAAATTGATTATTTTTGTTTAATAAAAAACTTAAATTTAAAATAAATTTTAAACGGGACGGGGACTATGTTTCCCGTACCCATCCCGTATTCGCTTCGGGGTAATGATCCATGCCCTGTCCCGTTTACCCAATTATGCTGGTAATCCTCGCCCCATTTGGAGACGGGCCCCACAGGTACAGGTTGAACGAGTTTTTTAGCCATCCCTATTATGTTGAGACACTACAGGAAAATTGTGTCGCTGAACGGAAGTATCGCCACTTGTTAAATGTAGCTCGGTGTCTTCGTTTTCATGCACATTTACCAATTTCCTTCTGCGGTGAATGCATACTTACTGCTACTTATTTAATTAACCGTATACCAACCCCCTCTCTCAATGACAAAACCCCTTATGATCTCCTTTTCAACAAATCTCCTACTTATGATCACCTTCGTACTTTTGGATGTCTTTGCTATGCGCGCACTTTAAGTACTCATCGGGATAAATTTTCTCCTTGTGGTATATCATGCATATTCCTAGGTTACTCTCAGACTCTACACACCTATCTTGTTTATGACTTGCAAACCACGAAGATATTTCTATCTCGTGATGTCCACTTTGTGGAGTCTATCTTTCCATTTGCTACTATCATGCAACCCTCTAACGCCTTATTACCACACACCTTGCCAGACACTCCACCATTCATCTATATAACACGTACTACCTTACCTTCAGCTTCTGCTACACTTGACACTCAAGCTTCGTCCCTCCAAGTACCATCCCCACCAGACATTGAACCATTTATACCAACACCACCAGGTGATGATGGGTCAACCAACTTCCCAAAACTCGTCCCTATTTCACAACCATCACCTAGACCTCATCGTACAATTACTCGCCCCACATATCTTTAGGATTATATTTGCTTAGATCTACCTCAAGAGGGGCCACTTTCATCATCTCATTACCAGCTTTTCTCAGGTACGGTTCATTCTTTACCTAATTTTCTTTCTTATCATTTTTTTAGTCCACAACATTTTACTTTCCTCTCTTCTATCTCTAAAAATGTTCAGGACCCTATCCATTACTCTCAAGCAATTCTTAAGCCTCATTGGCAAAAGGCTATGGCTTCTGAACTTCAAGGCCTGGAAGCTAATCACACATGGACCCTTGAACATCTTCCCCCTAGTAAGAAAGCAATTGGTTGCAAGTGGGTTTATAAAACAAAATTGCATGCAGATGGTTCCATTGAACGTCATAAAGCTCGTTTAGTTGCCAAGGGTTTTACTCAGGTAGAAGGTCTTGATTATAATGACACTTTTGCTCCCGTGGCTAAACTTGTTACTGTTCGTTATCTCCTTACTATAGCCATAGCCAAATATTGGGCTATTCAACAGTTAGATGTTCAAAATGCTTTCCTCTATGGTGATCTTGATGAGGAAGTGTACATGCGACCATGGCCAATATATTGCCGTCAGGGGGAGACGAGCCTATGCCGTCTCCACAAATCTTTATATGGTCTAAAGCAAGCCTCACGTCAATGGTACTCGAAATTATCTTATAATCTCATTCTTGTAGGTTTTAGTCAATCTGCAGCTGATCATAGTCTTTCCACCAAGACCAATGGGTACAACATTTACTGTCGTTCTCATATATGTTGATGATATTCTAGTTGCTGGCAATTACATCTCTGCCATAGATTCAATCAAATGACATCTTGCTCAGACATTCAAAATCAAAGACCTTGGTGATCTCAAGTATTTTCTAGGGATTGAAGTTGCTCGATCTCCTAAAGGCATCTTCATCAATCAAAGAAAATATATTTTGGACATTCTTTCTGATTCTGGTCAACTCAGCTCTCGTCCTGCTTATTTTCCCATGGAACAACATTGTAAACTTAATGACTCGGATGGTGATCTTTTGGATGATCCTAGCTTATATCGACGATTGGTTGGTCGTTTGATCCATTTGACTATCTATCGTCAGGATATAACCTTTGCTGTCAACATTTTGAGTCAGTTCATGCACACTCCTCGCAAGCCCCATCTTCATGCTGCTCATCACTTGCTCCGCAATTTGAAAACTACTCCTGGTTATGGCCTCTTCTTCTCATCCAGCTGTAATTTTCAGATATCTGTTTTCTGTGACTCTGATTAGGCTAGTTGTCCACTCACATGACGTTCCACAACTGGTTTCCTCATCGAATTGGGCGATAGCCCCATCTCTGGCCCACTAAGAAACAAACTATTATCTCTCGCTCTTCTGTTGAAGCTGAATATCGTGCGATGGCCACTACAACTTGTGAACTTGTTTGGCTTTGACTCCTATAGAAACTTACTGTGCTCTATCCATAGCCTATTCTGCTCCACCGTGACAATCAGGTTGCTATCCATATTGCTCGCAATCCAGTTTTCCATGAACGAACCAAACCTATTGAACTAGATTGTTATCTCGTTCGTGAGAAAATTAAATCTGGTCTCATCGCTACCTCCTATGTCCCAACATCTCAACAAAAAGCTGATATCTTTACTAAACCCTTGGGTCGTGAATTATTTGTCTTTTACCGGTCCAAGTTGGGCATTACGGATCTCCATGCTCCAATTTAAGGGGGAATATTATAGCACACACCATCAATCAAGGAATCAAGCAATCATAGAAATCAAGCTAAATGTTATGTTTTCCATATATAGACTATTTCCATTACCAGATTTCATTTTCCATGTATAACTTAGATTTATGAATATAAATGTATACACAATCACTGTAAAATGTGTGAGCAAAAATATAAAAGTTTTTTGCCCTATTCCTTCTACAACGATTCTGTGTGTTGAATTTATTACCACTAGCAGACGATTTAGGGAAAAATTGGGAGCCAAAATTGGATCGATTATAGAATTAATTGGAGCAACCAACTTCGGGATAAATTCCGATGCGATACCAAGCGCTAGAGCGCTTTTGATGTGGAATTAAATGAAGGCATGCGGGGTGGGGTGGGGTGGGGTTTTGTTTTTTGTTTTTTAATTTTTTATTTAATATAGGAAATGTATTATGTCCACAATGCCCTTACCTTATTTGGAAAAAAATATTAGATTTTTAATTTTTGGGTCAACTGACGGTTTTTGGGGTCAAACTAACGAAAACCGTTATTTTGGACTTGGGCTACGATTTTTTTTAAAGTTTGGTACCATGGGTGGTACAAATGAAAAGTTTGAGCAAAGTCTACAACTAAGTGAAAGGTTTGGTAACTCGCTGCAATTTTCCCTTAAAATTAAAGTCTCTGAGTTGTCACTTCTCATTTATTGGTGTTTCACATTATTTTGTTGATATATAAGTTAATAATTTTCTTAGCTCTTCTTTGACATTCATTAAATCAATTTTTTTTTTCC